GGTGTGGCGGGCTGTGGTTGTGGGGGTGGTGGTTGTGGTGGTTTGGGGCGTGGGGTTTGGTCATTATATGTTTTTTTTTTTCTTTTTTTGGGAAAGATTTGTTTGAGAAAGTGAGCCGAGAGTGGATGAGTGTGCTGTGTGAACTGTGAAGTGAAGTTTTGATGGTGGGATTTGTTGGAATTGGGGGTGTGTTTGTTTGGACATGGGCAGATATTTGAGGTTTTTTTTTTTTTTTTTTTTTTTTTTTTTTTTTTCAACGCTATATAGCATGTGATGATGTGACGGTGATGGAAGGAAAAGGTTAGGAAAATTACATTCATATTTATTTTGATGGAGTTAAAATTCACTTATTTACAAAAAGTGGGTTGTGTTAAATTGGTAGACAGAGGATTGTTTTAAATTTTTAATTTAAATTAAAGATATAATTTTATGTGAAAATTTATTATTATAATTAAAAAATTAGATGTAATTTTTTATAAAAATTTTAATTGTAATAAAATTTAAATTTAAATTAATAAAATGAACTAAGCTGATATTTACTTGATCAGTGATGATTTTATTCTATGGGAATAAATATTATTTTTGTGAGAAAAATGGGAAGTGGGGGTGTTTAGATGTAGAGATAAGTGACAAAGTGCGTGTTTGCTGTTTGTTACAAATTCTTTATTTGGATGTATATATTTTATCATTTAAACGTTAAATTATTATTTTTTTTTTAAAAAGGATTAGGGAGAGTGACATATTTGTTGAGATTCAACCTTGTGTTGCTTTTATTCATCTGGACAAAAAAAAAAAAAAGATCGCAGCTCTTGTGATGTGATAAAGCCTAGAAAAGATTTCGTTTTAAAATTTTGTTTTTGTTTAATGATTGAATTTGAGCTATGTGTACATAACAGGAAACAGAATGTAGCTTGGCTCTAGTTTTAAATATAATAAATAATATCCAGAATTTCTCATTGTTACAACAGTATTTTGCTAATTTGCAAAGTCTTCTTCTTCTTTTTTTTCCCCCTTGTCTGTATTGTCCTTCCTTTTAATTCTTCGGTGCATGTTTTTAGATCATGTGGAGACAAAAAACAAGTAAACACTATGCACAAAGAAATCCAATGGCAAATAATGATAAATATTGTTCATCTGTTAAAAAAATAAAAAAATAAAAAATAAAAAATAAAAAATAACAGTAGTGTTGAATTTTCCCTAGTTGTGGATTTGGACTTTGGTTCTTATGGAAGGTAAGTAAGGTATCTATCCCTAGGCACCAGGCACAGTTGAGATATTAAAGGCGATGGGTGGCCCCACAAAAGGAAAATTAAAATGTTTGGGGTGACTAAGAGATCCCATATTTAGTATAAGTATCTAAGCAAGAATTCTTGATGTTTTGTCGGGAAAAATATATAATAAATGTCGCATATTATAGTTTATGTGATGTTGAAGTTCAACTATGGCGTTTTTGAATGTTGTGTGGCCATGCTTGTCCTGTCCCCTTCGACCTTGAGACAGCCTTTTGTTCATCATCAATTTTGATAAAAGATTGGTTATGTTTTAAAACTTTGTTAGTGCATATAAATTTTAAGTAAAAAATGGCCTTATTCATTTTATGATTCAAATCAAGACTTTTCTTACATAAATTTAGGGATTGTTTGATTGGGGGATTCATACCCCGATTCGAATTATGGTTCATGGTTCGCTATAGTATTTTCTCTCACAAAAAATACACGTAAATCAAAAATAGTTTTAATCTTATGATTCTAATCCATGAATCAAACGTTTTCTTAATTTCAATTTTTTTACTATATTATTTTTCTCTTATATATAATTTAAATCATAACTTGAGTTGTGTACACGAGTATACTCAAAAAAAGAGAAAAAATATATCTTATTTTTATCTAACAATTTGTCTATTTCAAGAAGAGAGTTGTGACAAAGCTATTTTTATCTAAATATCAGTTATTATTACGTCTTTTTCAAAACTTCAACTAGCGAACGAAAGTGATGAAAGTGTGTGTCTAAAGAGGCGCGGTCAACAAATTGGAAAGATAATTGCGGTAAAACTACCGTTTTATAGTTTTCCAATTTTTAACTTCTTTTCAACCATACAAATACAGAGCCTAAAATTAATAGCATGCATAAGATTGAGAGCAATGTGCAATTCTTTTTTTTTTTTTTTTTTAAATGTTAAGGCACCGGTTATTCAGTAAAATTTCAGTGCTTTGTCATTGATTTTTTTTTTTTTACACACAATTT